CAAATTCCAAATTCTACATTCACTCCTGGCTCATTCCCCCTCTCTCTCTGCTTCTACTCTTTCTTTGCACTTGACTTTCCATTGTTGACTGAATACCTGAGTATCAGGGAACCCAAATTGATCAACCCAGGTAAATGGTAGCACTGAAAAACTTCCTTGGCAGGGACCTATCATAAACTTGCCAGATCTTGAAGACTTCCAAGCAAAATTGAAATGATTTAGGAACTGTCTACTTTACAGCTTCCCCTCCCTCCTTGAGTACCGGAAACAGTGGGCTTAATAAGTGAGCTCTGCTTGCAAAATAACATGACTGAGAGTTGCAAAGACATTTTTGGATGTCTAAACTATCGAAATCATCCACGTGGTTTCTCCAAAATAATCACTGTGGTGGCAGACACTTGTAGAATGGAATTTAACACACCAAAACACCTCGCGTTGTGTCTGAGTTTCAGAGGAAAAAATAAGCAAAAAGTACTTTCATAAAAGGAAAAATATCTTCTATTGGAATAGGAAAAAGACTATAAGATTTTCCCCTTAATATCACACAAAATGGGAGTTTTTGCAATTTTAAATATAACACAGCTTGTAGAAATGTTCAGTAACTTTTGGTTTAATTATCCATAACAACTGAGACAGTTATTGAACTGTCATTGTTTTAATTATGGCACGATGATTAATTATGATACATGATTAACCTCAGCTCTGTATCACAGCATATTTAACAACTAAATCATGCAAAAAAGTGTTCAGGCATGTAATCGGAAAGTAGTTTTATTAGCACTAGAACTTTCTCTTCTTCTCCCTGGTTACTAGGAGAGCTTGAGAACAGTTCAGCTCACTCAAAGTAAAACTTTGTTTAAGATTTCCCTTGGCTTTCCAAATCTAGCCAGTGAAGGTGACCTTCCTACAGAGAAGAGCAGACTTCCTATCTTAGAGGGCAAAACCATCCTTCTAATTTTTGATTTCCTAATAGCAGTTTTATTCTTTCCTTCCACACATTTATTTCCAAAGGAGCAAATATTCAAATATGTTCAATGGTGATGAATCTCTCTTTTTTGAATATCTGCTTTTGAAAACAACCAAGTTCAAATGATTAATTTGGGAAATGAGCTTGAGCATAATGTGACTATACAGAGGTCCAGAATATTGAATGCTTTAAAAGAAGGTTCACACACACATTACACACATTATCTTCCTTATTATTCCTGTGAAGTGGGGGGGGGGGAAGCACCATCATTCCCCTTTTACAGAGACAGAAGTTGAATTTCAGTTGGTTCAGGACTTGTAATCCTAACCCACTGCCCTTCTCCATGACTTGATAAAATCACATTTCTCTGGGCTGGTGGCTTCTTGAGAAACAAGAAGCAAAGATTCAGAGAGCCTACTATCTGGAAAAAGGAATCTGTGATAATGCCATCTATCCTAGCCTGTTTTCTGTTGTTATACCTGAATATCATAGACCAATTTATAAAGAATGGAGATTTATTTAGTTCACAGTTATGGAAGTTGGAAAATCCAAGAGCATGGTACTAGCATCTGGTGAGGGCCTCCATGCCTCAACATGACATGGTGGGAGACATCACGTGGTGAGACAGAGCAAGTGTGATAGATAGATCAGGTCTCTCTTCCTGTTTATAAGAATAATGCCATCATAGGGTCCCAATCTCATGACATTATCAAATCCTAATCCCTTCCAAAGGCCCACCTCCAAATGAATTTGAGGGTTAAGTTTTTAACTACAAACTTTTGAGGGATATATCCAAACCCTAGCACCATCCCTAGCCCAAAACCTGGCACAGAAGCTTCCAGGCATGCCAGCTTCCTGAGCTTTGGCATCAGCAACCAAGTATCTGTTGCTTCAGCCCCTCTTTCATGGACCACAGTCACCTGGCTCATGGCATCTCTACTTCTTTCCATATCTCTATCTTTTCCCAGATGGATCTCAAATCTAAATTCCAAAAAGGAGTCAAAATAATTGACTTAACTCTTTACCAATAGACCATTAGGTAGAGCCTTTAATATCAGGTACTTCCTATTCATCAAAAATGACCTCACCCAAGCAGGTGGCTATGGGAGGGGAGCTTCAGCTAGAAGGGCATGGAGAGTGGCATAACTGGTTATGGATGATTCATCTATAACATGGCAGTGATGGTGCTCATGCTGATGACCATGATGGTGACAATGATATGTGCCATATATTGAGTGCAGAGCACATGCCTCTCACCATGCCAAGCTTTCTGTACACATAAGGCTTAAAAACTGAGTCTGTGTTCAAGTCTCAAAGAGATAGCAAGATAGGCAGTAGTAGAGAATTCTAACAACTTCTGTCCTTCCACATGTTAAAGTGAACTATTCACTAGTGTAACTTCTCACATCTTTTCCTAGCTAAAATCACCAAAAGGATAATCCTAATATCTTTCCCCATCTCTTCCCAACATATGAAGTCTGAAAGGGAGTCATATAGGATTCCAGCTCTCTTTTGTTCTTGTCACCCTGAGATGCAGTATTGGGATAATGGTTAAATAGATTCAATATATAAATAAGCCTTGGGTGGTCAATGCCTGTCCAGAGGCAACCTGGCACTGATTCTTCTTGAAGGCATCATTGCTGTCTGGAATAGAGCTTCAAACCTTCTGAGAAGGCAGAGCTGGCTCCTTGGTGTGATGTGAGTGTCAGTAATTCCATCTCTCCTCTAAGCATCTATGATTCCCTCCTGAGAGATTTTATCTTATTTTTAAAAATTTTTTAATTTATTATTCTAATTTGTTATATATTACAGAAGGATGCATTACAATTCATATTACACATATAGAGCACAATTTTTCATATCCCTGGTTGTACACAAAGTAGAGTCACACCATTTGTGTCTTCATACATGTACTTAGGGTAACGATGTCCATCTCGTTCCACCATCTTTCCTACCCCCATGTCCCCTCCCTTCCCCTCCCTACCTTGAGATTTTATTTTATTTTATTATTTTAAATGGTATCTCACTGTATTTCCCAGGCTGTCCTTGGAACTCCTGGGCTCAAGTGATCTTCCTGCCACAGCCTCCCAGCTGTTCCTAGATTTTGAAGGTTACCTAGGTTTCTAGATCAACATTATTATAGTGTGCATATCCCCTTTTAAAAGATAACTCATTGAGTTTTGTTAGCCAAACCCTTCCAGGGAAAGATGACAGCTGTTTGAGGAATGATGAAGAAGCTATCACCAAATATCCTTACTCTACTATCAAGATTGCACAACCATTTGTATTTGCATCCAAGGTAATGGGAGAGGTCTGCCCAGAGACTTCTTCCAAGGTTCCTAAGACAGGCAGGCTGAATCACATTTAATTCTTTATCTCCATGCTCCATGTTTGTGTTCCTCAGATGTGCCTAATAGCAAAACCCAGGACACCTGTCAAAATATAGAGTCCTACACCCCTACCAGACCTATTTATCCAAAAGTTTTACACAAGGGCCTAGTGATCTGTATTTTTACCTTTATTTTATTTATTTATTGTTTTATATGGTGCTGCAGATTGAACCCAGGGCCTCGAATGTGCTAGACAAATGCTCTACCACTGAGCCACTTCCCCAGCCCCACAATCTGTGTTTTTATATACTCTGAAGGCTTTGGGACATATTGCCCATTCCAAAATCACTGATTTTTTTCCCTCTCTCTGCCTACCAGGGTTTGGGTATGAAAGAAAGCCTGGGCACCAGTAAGCAGCATAATCTTTACTAAGCCACGTCCCTTTCCTGGTCTTTATTCTCATCTGGAAAATGGGAGTGTTTTACTAGATCACTTAATAATGCAGTCTACCATTTGCATTTGCCAGTATGGACTATGAAAATTAATGTCACAATGTTTTCAACACATTTTTGAAGCCCTTTTCCAATCAACCACTGTAAAATTCCAGGAGAGTCACCAGGGCAAGAAAGCACAAAAGGCTCTTGAGTTCTTGTGTTTACTGAGATAACACTTGTGAAGAGGCCTAGCACAGGGCCTAATACTGAGAACTTCCAGAAAGTATTAGCATTCTTCTCCCAACTGTGTCATGCCAACTATGTTTTCAAATGGCAATCCCTACAGAGTTGTGCTATTCTTCTATGCATCCCTGTGACCAAAATACCTGACAAGGACAACTTAGAGAAGAAAAAATTTACTTGAGTTCACAGTTTTGGAGGTTCAGTCCATAGAAGGCCAGATCCATTGATGTGGGCCCAAGATGAGGCAGAACATCATGGCAGAGGAACACTGCTCAGCTTGTAGCATCCAGGAGGGAGGGAGGGATAGAGAGAGAGAGAGAGAGAGAGAGAGAGAGAAAGGGGCCATGGACAGATATAGTCCAGGTCACTCTGCCACACGACCAGTGATCTTCTTCCTCTAGCCATGCCCCACATTCCTACAGTTACCACCCAATAGTCCATTCAAATTATTAATCCATCAAATGGATTAAGCCACTGATGAGGTTACAGTTTCTCATAATCTAATCATCTCGCCTCTGAACATTCTGAACTTTCCTGTATTGATCTCTTTGGAGGGCATTTTCAGATCCAAACCATAACAAGAAGCTTCTGCACCAGCCCTCTACACACAGTTCCAATACTACCCTACAGACTCACCAACATACAGGACTACTGGCAGTGGGATACCGTTGTACAATATGCTGCAACAACAAGTGGTCAACTCCAAAGTCTGGACTCTTTCTGTCACATTCTGGCCTCTATATGTGCCATCTTTTACTCCTGGCCTCCAAGCCTCCACAATCCTGTGTAGCCTGCTCATCCCTCTCCCACCAGCTCCCCCAGGAGTACTCTTTCCCCTGTACCTTAACCCCCATCCCAGAGGTCACCCTGTCCTCCTTCTGCTCAGCACCCTCTCCTATGTCCTGGGGATCTCTACCCCACCATCAGCCCAGCCCATCAACCCCAAGGTCTCCTGGACCAGCAGAACCTGCCTGTGCCCTAGAAGCATTCAGAATCCTTTCACTTCTCTCTCCCACATACCTGCAGGGACTACCCAGCCCCTTCCTGCGCTGCCCTTCACAGAGACTCCTAGACCGTGTGGTCCGGCGATATGCTGAGGTAGCTGATGCTGGCAGCATCTTCATGGACCACTTTACTGACCGTGACAAGCTGCGTCTGCTCTACACGCTCTCTGTCAATGCTCACCCCATTCTCCTACAGGTATGCTAGGTTGAATGTTCAACCCCCTTTATAGCCTTCTCTGGGGCCACCAGCCCATGTTAGTCCTTTTGTGACATTTGGTAATTACTGTTTGACTTCTGCAGTGTAAAAGTGCTGCAGCTGCTGTAGAAGAAAGAGGTGTGGGAGTGCAAGGCTGGCATTGTGAGGAGGAGGTGATTGTAGGCATCTTTGCTGCTTGAGGCAGCCATGAAGGGTTTTGTGAAAGAGAGCAACTTTGACCTGTTCCTCAAATATCAGTAAAATTTGAGCAAACACAGAGGGTCGGGAAATAGCCAAAGTGTGGCTTACTCCTGCAGCTAAGCTTAGAAAGGAGAAATAAATGAAAGTAAATTAACTGTCCATCAATTAGGAGGATACTCAAATAAATAAGGATGCATTAGGGTTTGAGGATACACTGGTTAAAGAGACAGGTATGGTGGCTCTTGCCTTTGGGAACTTCTAATCTAATGGCAGAGACAGACACTTAACTGTAAACAAACACCCCCAGAACATGTGGAGCCCAATCTCCCTGACCCCAAAAGTCAGGATATGGAAGTTGCATAATGAACAGAGAGGAAACTAGGAAGGAGGAAGAGGAGGAAAAGGAGGAAGAAGAATAAAAGACAGAGAAAGAGAAAAGGAAGAGAGAGAAGACAGGAAGGAAGAGGAGGGGAGAAAGTACAGGTAGAGGAGAAAGGCACTATGCAAAGACAGTTCATAAATATTGGCCAAAGGAATGATGGATATCTGAATACCCAATAATGACTCTCCTTTATTGAGCACCTGCTTTACTGATCACTACTGTATCACTGAGGTGCACCCCCAGCCCAACTTTGCCAGGCATCGTGTTGAATGTTTGATATAATTATGTCAGTTGATGCTCACAACAACCTTCCAAGAATTTCATTATCGTCTCCTTTTCTAGATGAGGTTAAGTGAGTCCCAGAGATATGAAGTGATTTGGCAAAGTCACTTAGACAGTGTCATCAATGGAATCCAAACCCAGAACTCTCTGATGTCAGAGGCCATGCCTTTTCTGCTAAAACCTGCCTGGTAACATTTGCATTTAAAATATTAGGGGCAGAGAAGGAATTGCTGGTTGTCCTGCGCTCTTTTATCCCATTGTTCTAATCTTGGTTGGTGACAGCAGCAGACCCTGTCTACACCTGGACTTGGCTTCTGAGAGGCCTGGCTAAGACCATGGGGACTAGGACTTTCCACTCAACCCTGAGCTCCTCCAAGAAAGAGCAGAGCATGGAACGAATAATGCGTTTGTGGCTTCACATTTAAACAATGACAGTAGGCCCAGGACCTCCTACAAAAGCACATAGTGAAGGCTGGGATTGTGGCTCAGCAGTAGAGCACTTGCCTGGCATGTGTGAGGCACTGGGTTTGATTCTCAGCACCACTAAAAAAAAAAAAAAAAAAAATTCTTAAAAAAAAAAAAAAAGCACATAGTGAGAAAGGTCCCCTCCAGTCAGGTGAAACTCAAAGAGTAAATGGGCATGGGATTTTCATAACATGAAATAAAATGAGCAAAAGGGACAGAAAATTATGACATTGGGGAAGACTGTTGTTTGGGTTTTTTGTTTTGTTTTGTTTAGAGCTGGGGATCAAACCCAGGGCCTTGTGCATGCTAGGCAAGCACTCTACCAACTGAGCTGCACCCCCAGCCTAACTTTGTTTTTTTTTAAAGAAAGAAAAGGGGATTTTTTGTTATTTATTCCATAGTTTAAAGAAACACCCTTCTAGATATAGCTGCTTTAATACACTGTCAAGAAAAAAACCAGCTAGGACTCCCTCCCCTCTTTTTCACCTCACAAATGTGCAAGTTGGGAGTTCTTAACAGGAGTCAGGCTGTGCTAAGCTTCCTTAGGCCAGTGTTAGGATATCTAGAAGGGTCCAGTTAGTTGAGAAGCATCTGTGAGTATGTAGTTACCTCAGCTAGGCAGATTCACCCAGGGCTGTCTGGAAAGAAAGTTAAGGTCAGTGCAGGGGTTCCCCAAATCTGAATTTCCCAAGGGCTACAATCATGATTTTTGTCCTGCACTGTTATTTTTATTTATTTTTTAGATATCTCACTCTTGCCAGGCTGGCCTCAAACTCTTAAGCTCACATGATCCTCCTGCCTCAGCCTCCCAAGTAGCTGGGATGACAGGTTGTAACCTGTTGTCACACCCAGCTTGCACTGTTATTTTTAAAAATATTTTTCTTTGAATCAGCTTTAAGTTGACTCTCCATTGTTTTTCCCACAGTCTCTTCGTAAGTAGTGATATCTCAAGTCCTTGTGAAATCTCAAGTCCTACTCATATTTTTCCAACAATACAACTGTTAGACATATTTCTCTGAATCCTGGATACCATCAAAAAATTTTGCAGGTCCATTAGCATTCTCATACCCTGCTCAGAAGAAACAGTTAAAATACACTGCACAGAAATGAGAAGAGCCTCCTTCTAAAGTCTTTCCATCAATGACAGAATGTGAAAGGGATGGCCGGTTGGGGGGGGGGGGGGGGGTAGGGGTATTGCCATGTTCCAAGAAGTATAAAAATGATGAAGAAACACTTTGCTGGTGTATTTTGAGAGCAGGGATGCCTGTGTGAGGCTGATTTTTCTGTGTTCTCTCAGTGAGAGGTAGGGAGAGAGCTGTCTCCATGAGATTTTTCTCTCATTCGCTAATACCTGTTCCTTCCGGCTTGGCAGATCTTCCCTGGGGCGGAGGGATGGCCGCTGCCCAAGTACCTGGGCTCCTGTGGCAGATTCCTTGTCAGCACCAGCACCAGGCCACTGCAGGAATTCTATGGTGCACCCCCAGACCAGGCAGCTGACCTCGCCTACCAGCTCCTTGGTGTCCTGGAGTCCCTGAGAAGCAATGATTTGAACTATTTCTTCTACTTCACCCATGTTGATGCAGGCATGTTTGGCATCTTTAACAACGGGCATCTGTTCATCCGGGATGCCAGAGCACTGGGCGTCATCGACAAGCAGGAAGGTACCCAGCATGGGCCTGGCTGAGCAGCTGTCAAGGGGGATGTCAGGGTGACAGAAGCTAAGGAGGGGTGACCTGGGGTCACACAATTGGGCCTTTCCAGTGTCCATGTGTTACAGTGAGAGCAAGCCAAGTTTGGGGCATATTAGATGTTGTGTAAAATGTCCCTTAACCCTGTTCAGATTTTGCCTCTAGCTCCAGCTCCAAAGCGGAAATGAATTTGACCTTGTCCACAAGGGGCATTGTCCACAGTAGCTCAGCCCCAACTGCACCCTTCCAGGGCAGTGCTATTGTCCAGTTGGGTTTATGAAGCCCAGTAACCTGCCCTGGCCCTCCTCACACATAGACTTCCAGGGCCCATCTTCCTCTCAGAGCCTTTTTTAGCAGATGCTTTTAGCCTTTATCTAAAACTTAAATATCTGGCTGGTTCACTGGCGCATTTGGCAATCCATATTGGCACATCTGCTTTTTATAAAGTTTTCAAATTAAAAAGCATGGAACTGAATGAGGTGTATGAGTGACTCATGTTCTTCACTATGTGCAAAGGCTCATCCAGCAGTCTAGAGCCCTTTAAACATCCCAATTTCCCATGGTGACCACATTTTTTGAATCTAATAATAGAACAAAAATTTTCTTTTCCCACTTCTGATTTTGTTTATATGAGGAAGTCTACAAAGATAGAAGAATTTAAACAGCACTTACTCATTTTCTGATGTGCCTTTATTGGTAAAAATCGAAACAAGGCTGATTCTAGAATATTCAAGATACATAAATCACTGGACTGGTATCCACCCCATTACAACCTGTTGAATGCATATTTTGGATTACCTGTTTTTTATCCTAACTTTGTATCTTAAAAAGGCAAGTGAAAGCAGTCCTAATAATTTCTTGAGTTCCCTAGTTCAGTAGAAATGGAAAAATAACAATATGGATGTGACCCCTTATCCCTACCAGAAATAAAGCCTTTCCCAACTTCTGGTAGGGATAAGTGGGTTTTCCATGTTCAGGTCTCAACCTATTGTAACAGAGAGAGTTCCTCCCATGTTGTTTTCAGAAGAGGCCATTTGTGTCCCTGAGCTTTAAATTCTTGGTGACAGGGAAATGCTGGGAGAGTAAACCACTTCACCCAGAAATTATAATTAGTGGTGTCCTCCATCAAGGAAAACAGGTTGTAGAGTATGTGATCTTCTCCTTCTTTTTTCTAGGTAGCCAAGTAGCCACCAGGGCAGGAGAAGATCAAGACATTTTTAGCTGCCTGGTTTCTGGCTGCCAGGCCCAGCTGCCCTCCTGCAATATGGTTCCTGAGAAGCAGAGCCTTGTGCTGGTCTGTCAGCAGTTGCTGCCTCGACTTCTTCAGGGGAGGTTCCCCTCCCCAGTACAAGAGGAGATAGACACTGCTCTTGCTCAGTGTGGCGAGGAGGCCAGCCCAGATCCAGAAGTCCTTGGAGCTGCCACCCGGCTGAAGGACATCTTGAGGCCCCTGAGAACCTGTGGCCCCAGATTTGCCTACCGCTACCCAGACTGCAAGTACAATGATAAGTTCTGAGGAGCTGGATCCCAGGCTGATCTAGAGGGGATGACACACTTGGCTGCCAGGTCAAACAAAGCATCTCTATGTCAAACATTAATAGAAATGCATATTCACCTCCCAGGGGCTAAAGAACACTCAAACTAAGGAGGACAGTTGTAACAAATCATGTGATTGCCCCTCCTGGCAATGTCATGGCAGAACTGAGATGTCATGGCAGAACCCAGGGATGGGCATCAGCAAACCTGGGTATGGACACTCACTCAATGTGTTTGAGCCTTGGTTTCTTCTCTTCTCCACCAGAGTTTCATAAAGGTGAAAGAAACAGAGATGTAAGAGATCTGGGACACATGCTCACTAGCCCCAGTCCAGGTGGTGACAAAGCATGTTCCAAAAGCACACACAGGTGGGCTGAGAAAGAGCCATGCAGGTCATAAGGCTGGTGTAGAGGGAAGGCAGGGTGAAAGTAAGTCTCTGGACTACTGGAATTTTAGATTCAGACAAAGAGACCAACTTCCTGTTCCCTGTTCTTCCTGCCATGCTTCTCACACCACTGTGGGGGAGCAGACTGCAGGCCAAGGGGACATACCCACCATTGTCTTCTCCTGAGCCACACTTCAGGTACCTGGAATTCCCTACTTCTACATAGGAGGCACCTTATAGTGTGGGGAGAAACCAGGACGAAGAAGAGAAGGGGACAGCCAGAGCCAGTGTGTTAGTTTCATTCCTCTAAGAAGTGGGTGTCGGGACAGGATTCTATGGGTGAGAATTTTCTTAGGGAAAGTGCCTGTGGGAAAGGCAAAAAGGAGGAAGCAAAGAGCTTAGAGAAAAAACAAAGCCAGCCACCAGACAAATCCCATGTCTCCCATGATGGACCTCTCTTATTATCTCTGCTGTACTCAGTCATTGGCAAAAGCAGGCTATGAAAGTGTAACCTCAGTCCAATCACAAAGATGGACTTCACAGCACAGTAGCTGGGGTACCAAGTATCGACTGCTTTCTAGAACATTTTTAATGTAGCCACAACTGGGAACCAGGGTGGGCTCTTTCCATACTATGTGCTCCAGAATACAACTGTAAGGAGTCAGAATTTTCATTCAAACTTGGCTTCACAGGCCATTACAAAATTATATTTTTCAAGTCAGCCATTAGAACACAGTTTAGTTAACAGTCAGTCTGCTTTATACCTTTTAAATTAAACATTTAGCCACATGAGATGTGGACTTCCATGTATGCAACAGTAGTGGGGTTCTTCTAGACCTTCTCCCAGTCTCCTACCAACCTTCTTTCCCCAGGGACCTTTAAGTCTACCTCCTCTTTTCTACCTCTAAATCAACACCTTTAAGGTCAGAACACTTGGCTTAACATGACTCACTATGAAGATGGAGAAACTGAGGCCCAGGGATGAAGAATGATTTGCTGGGATAGTTCCAGAACCCATGCTACCAACCCATGCTCCTCTTGTCTTCCCCATCAGCTTCTGACTCTCGTCCTGTGCTATTCAAATCTAGTCCTTTCACTTACATTTAAAGATGGGCCCCCAAAAGTCTTATTTTTTGTCATGTGCTATGTTGCCCTTTGGGTTTGCTTTTGACTGCTCCAGACACAGCCACATGGCAACCATGATAGTGAGGATGACAGGCCAAGCTTGTGGAATAGCAAGCTTCAATTGCCTGAGAATCTGAAACTGCCTTCCAGCTTGTTCTGGAAGGTGAAGTCTGACCACCCTTCCCACCTGCACAGCCACCCTTCTCCCTTCTGACCTGCATGCACTGTGTCCTCCTAGCCTGGACATTATCCTGTCCAGAGTCCAGAGAAGAGTCACAGCCTCTAGACTTTCCAGAATTCCACTGAAGAATAAGGGTGGTCACAGAGACCCTCCAACACTCAGCCCATCTCTCTAGTTGCAGGTGTTTTTCCATTGCAAAATTGTTCCATATGATGAGTGACTTTGAGTGAGGTCCCCAAGGAGTACAAAAATGGACCCTTTCACGGGCGATGAAGAAACCTTCCTCTAACCCCTCTATCACAATTCTGCCCACCTGCACAGAACTCCAGACCTTTCCTTCAGACCAGTCTCTTGAGACTCTGAGGAATGTTCCTTCAAAACCATCACATAACCCCTGGAGCTGCTGAGTGTTAGGCAGGAAATACAGACTCAGATCCCTCCTGAATTAGGAGAAAGAGATCTTGGTGCCCTACTTGACTGAGTCCCAGGAGAAAGCAAAGAACCAAACCGCCCAAGCACCCTCAGGGGGCTATTGAGAGATTGTTTTTAGTGCAAATTATAATCAAATTCTGTATTTGTGCAGCTGTGCTCACATCCGCAGTACAGGCCAAGAGCTAATGAAGGCAGGACAGATAGATGTTAGGCAGAAGCTATGTATGCTTTGGAATGGCTTAGAAATGATTCTCCAACAATGAATTTTTGCAGGTTCAGGAGGTTACAGAGTCCCTTTTCTCATATGCTTTCAGGACAGAGCAGATGTGTCGCTCTTGTCAACAGGCCTAAAAAATCACAGGCCCCACTCAGGCATTGCCTTCAGGAGATGTGTCCCACCCACACCCCATACAATCTACAGACCATCTCTGCCACTCCCTTCCTGTGGCAGAAACAGAGCAGAGTTGTCTGAATCCCCTCCCTACTTTAAGGAACAACTGTCTGCCTAGCTGTTGACCCCTTTTGACTCTGCCTCAGCTACCCTGCAGCTTCAGAATTACACCCTTCCTAGGGCATAGTCATATCCAGTGACTGGGTTTGGTGAGGTGTGATAGCCCAGCCATATTGGTTCACTGAGTAACAACTTTGACAGGCAATTCTCATTCCAGAACTCCCCACTGAGCTGGTCAAGACTCTACTGGGCCTATATCACAGTCTAACTTCCCTCTGCCCATTCTGCTTCCCCTGTATTCTTTTTACAGATATCTGTCCCTCTTAAACATCTTGCACCCTGTAGTGGGTTGAATGGCAGCCCCCAGAAAAATATGTCTACATTCCTAATCCTGAGAACCTGTGATGGTGACTTTACATGGAAAAGACATGATTAAGTAAAGGATCTTGAATGGAGGGTATTATCTAGGATTATCCAGTTAGACCCTAAATGCCATCCCATATAACCTTATAAGAGAAAAGCAAAGAGAATTTTGAGACAGAAGAAGAGGGGCAATGTGAAAATTGAGGCCAAGTCTAGGGCAATGTGACCACAAGCCAAGGAACTCTGGCAGCCACCAGAAACTAGAACAGGCAAGGAATAGATTCACCTCCAGAGTCTCCAGAGAGAGTGAGGTCTTGCTGACATATTGATTTCAGATCAGTGAAATTGACTTCAGATTTCTGGCCTCTAGAATTGTGAGATAATAAATTTTTTTTGAGCCACTTTGCAGTAATTTGTTATAGCAACCACAGGAAACCAACATAAACTCCCAAATCCATCTTAGTATCTGCTTCTAGAGAACCCAACTTATGACACACATCAACTCCAACCTAGTGTAATTGATTCAAAAGCAAGCCAAGAACACTCAATGTCAAGCATAAGGAAATTCTGGAGAAGTATGTGATGCCTTCATACTCAGGGTTGATGGTGACCTTCTCCAACTTACAAAGTTCTAATGTTTACTGAAGACCCTGTGTGGGTGCTATCTTGACCCAAATCTTTCTCTTACATACCAGCCCTGACAGGTCACTTTCTGAACCTTATGTCAACTCCTGGACCACACTGTGTCCCACTTGGGACTAATCCCAAGAGTATACCAGAAAGATCTGTGTCCCACCCTCCCATCCACCTGGAAACTTCCTGAGCATGGTGGTAATGTGGGGCACTTTGTATTCCCCATAGCAACACAGGGCTAGACACAGCAGATGCTGGGAAAATGTTCCTACTGAGAACAATGACTGTGTTCTTCTGCCCTATTTGCTTGGTGGTGTTCATACACCATACTGGCTATATATAGGACAGACCCCTTCCCCAGGAACAGTGCCTTCCCCTCAACAGCTAGGAGACAGGTGAGTCAACACTCAAGTGACTTCAGCCAGAACAAAAATATCATCATGTATTCTCAGTCCCCTGAAATTTTATTGGAGGCATTAGAGTATATTTCTGAGTTAGATCAGTCAATACCTTTTAGCCTACAGAACAGGTTACATTATTTGTTGGACCCAGAGGAAAATGAAAATGCAAGGTCTCCTATTCAAAAATAAGAATTGCAAGATGAGACAATAAAGCATGAAATTAAACTCAGACCCTCTACAACTGTACAGTTTGCAGGATTATACTTGGCATTGAATGCTCTTGGCATTTTCTGGGAGCTCATTTGATTTCTATATCCAAGGGGAGCAGGGGTGGGACCAGGGGTGATGTATAAATATGTAACAACTGCCATGGCAAAGACCTATGAGAACAGACTCTACTGGCTGCCACCATCAGCAGGGTCTAACCACAGCCCCAGGGGCAAGTCCTTCTTTCCACAGGAGGAAACTAGTTTCAGTGATTTGCTAAAAGTGACAATTTTTAGGTCTCTTGCTTTCCCAGTCCTCTCCTATAGCATCTGACTTCTGCCTATAAGCAATTCCACAAACCTGAACATTTCCTCTAGAATTAAAATAAATATTTTGTTGGATTTGTGTTCTTTTGGGGACGATCTGATTTTTGGAATCAGACAGACCTAGTATCAACCCATGACTATGGTAGTTACTGTGTAACCTTTGGCAGGTTACTGAACCTTTCTGAGCCTTACTTTCTACATCTATAAAATGAGGAGAAAAATATTTACTCCAGGGACATTGCCTTGTTTAAATAGAGTGATGTCTCTCAAGACCCTATATTTGAAGGCAAATGTAGCTCAAAAGCCAAGGGTCTCCCAGCAGAAGGGTTCCTTATGCAGCCAACACAAACAAAAGAAAAGGACCCTGATCTCTGCCCCAACCCTTTACTCCAGCCCCCAGAAGCCCCCAGGATGCCTCAGGATACTCAATAATCAGACTGCATTTTTTTCACTTCCCACATCAATCATCAAAGGCA